TAATATTAGACCAAATTATTAGACGCACTGTAGGGGAGAGTGGGGTCAATTGTAACAGGGTACGATTGTAACAGAGCAAAAATTTTGAGTGTCGGATTCTAGATTTGGTTCCTAGGTGGCCCACAAGGTGTATTTAATAAATCTATATGTACACCCCTGCTGGCAACCATTTTTATGTACTTTTGAAAGAGTTACATCACAAAAGATATTTTCACGCTACGTAAGTACTTTTTTAAGTATTAGAATATTATATTGTAACAAAGTAATTTTGTTTAAACAAATAAAAATTAGTAACCGAATATGTAAGTAGACACCTTAATTAACATTTAAAAAAAAAGATTAGTTTTGTTAATTAACTAGCATTGTTTTTAACAAATGAAGCTGAAATGGCGTCTTGGGGACGATTGTAAAAATAAGTAAAGGGACGATTGTAACAGCTGAAAATAAATAATCTTATGTTTACAAACCATTACTTAACTCTTTAAGAACCACCCATAGTTTCCTTTATCATTTATATTATGTTGCATGTGCATTATTTTATTTGTCACCTTTCACAGCATAAATTAAAATTTTTAACCCCTTAAAGTTAAAAGTTTAACCCTTTAGGTCTCTGCTCATTATTATTTTTACTCCTAAAATATCACTACTATTTTGGTCAATAAAAAAATATATCGCAACTATGATAATATGTATAATTAACTATGTTGTAGTTGAATTTATGAACTGTTACAATTGACCCCGTAAGTGGGGACAATTGTAACAAGTGCACGACTGTCAAAAATTGTTAATAACTAATATAATAACGTTTAAAATAAGGTATTTATTATTTTTTTTCTAGTAGAGGATAGTCTACTTTACTCGTCTATTCATTAATACTAATAATATATTGGATTTTTTGTTAGTTAAAAATAGTTAAGTAAAAAATGTTACAATTGACCCCACTCTCCCCTAGTGTTTTAATAATTGCATGTTTTGCACGAATTTATATACAATACATTTATATTTCGAAGTACCTGTAATAGATTTTTATACCGAAGAGTTTCATATACTTCCTACATGAATTTATTTCCAGTGTATTGCATTGCAATGCTAACCCTACACTAACGTTAACACGTGCAAATCGTTTTCAGTTGAGTAAAAACAATAAAGTTGTATAGTATTACACGATAATTAAGATTTTACATAGAATCTTATAGTGTGTCTAATAATTTGGCCAGGGGCTATAAATGAAATGGAAAACATGTGCAAGAAATAAATATTGAATTGAAATTAACTTTTATTGAATGTTGAGCTTTAGAATGAGCTATATAATTTTTCAAAGCGAATTTTACAAAACAAAAACACAGTTTGATAAAGATTTGTAAAATTCTCATAGCAAATTTCTCCTATATGCATTATTATTACCTTAAAATCACAAAGGCAAATTGCTTGTAGAAAAATCAGCGTTGTTATGTAAACTAAAATCTAAAGATACCACTAACAGTAAAAAAGAAAACTAGAGGAAGCAATAAAATCAAGGCAACACTAAAATGAGGACACTCCGCGGTGTTAAAGTTCTTTTTCTCTTTAAAATAATTCACAGTTAAGTAAAAGTTTAAGTGACTTCCACCACCTCGTTGATCTGAGACAACATATGACACGAGTTAAATAATTTTTTTAATTTCCTGTAATAATTGCTAGACATCGGATATATTAGATAAAAAAGGACTTCTCTGTGTTAAAAGCAATGAACTTGATCATGTATTTGAAAGCAACAATAAATTGAAAGCGATGAACTTGATCATTTATTTGAAAACGACAATAAATTAAAAAAGCAATAACCATTGATCTAGTTACGCCACTGGTGTTTTTTCTGTTTTGTTCTTTGGTATGATGTTTTTTTTGTTAGCATTGTTTTATTTAAAATAATTAAAAGTTGTAAGTTTTTTAACTTTGGTATTGGCAGTTTTTTTGAAAAATTGAGTTGTGTTTTAACACCCTTAACAACGTAGTTAATAATCTTGAGTGCGTAAAAGATGTAATTTATGAGTGATAGAGTCTTACTTGAAACGAAAAGAAAACTATGGTGATATATTTATATAAATTCGCATAAATTAAAAAAATTTTTTTTAATTAAAATATTATAAAATACTTAATTTGGTAAGTAAAAAAAACGTAAGATACTTTTGTAAATTAAAGATGAAACAATCATAAGTTTCTAACAAATTCTTTAGCTATTATTTTTTCCCCCGTTTATATCCTTGAAACTTTTTATCATACTTTTGATAATCGTGATTTACAAATAGAAGGTATTAATGGTAAATAGTGACGGGAATTAAAATTAGTTTTCTTATTTGACACGCTTCCCTTTTAATTAAAATCTTTCATTAAGACCTTTTCTTTCGACTTTCACCTTTCCTGATTGAAATATTAAGCATTAACTGAACGGAGGAAAAAATAGAGTCATTTTTTTCTCTCACTTCGTTAACGTTACTCTCCAGACAAGAAGAAAATGATAGGTGGCAGATTTCTTATTCATTAATTGTTTACGAAGACTTAGAATATATATATANTATATATATATTTATTTATTTGATGAAACGCATAAAAATGGAAAAGAAATAAACTGTAGGAAAAAAGGGAAAAAAGCAAAGACAGGAACAACGTGGCTGACAGAGTCACAAAGAGAGTCAATACAGCCAAGAGAGAGGTAAACCACACTAGCTGTGAAATTTAGAATAAGGGTACACGGTAAATGATGCAATCAGGAATTTTGCACATCATCTATTGCCGCACATTGTTGGGACCTTGGACATAAATTTAACTTTGATAACGCCAACTTTTTTTCACCCCGACACATCAGTTTATCTCGATGCTCTGGGATTATGCTCCATTTATATCGTATAACTATTTATTTTCTATTTTATATAACCGTCGCTGAGCAGCCGATCTAATTTTTTGGGGTTTACCACTACTAATTTCCAACACCGTAGCATTGCAATTTTGAACCCTATCCAGACGACAAGGGAACTCCTGGACCAAGTATAGGGCGAATTTGCCTTCAGTGGAGGACTTCTTGATTAAACTAACACGCAATTGCGTTACGTGGAGAGGAAAACCATGAAAATCTCCCACGGTTAGCTTGACGGGAAGGGGACTCTAACCCATGATCCGTCTACCACTGAGGATATTTCCCTTCAGCACTGTAGTCAATGCAAGCCGGGTGCGGAATTTGAATCATCCAGCCATCGCCTTGATTCGAACCCGGTTCACCTCATTGGAAAGCGATCGCTTTATCCCCTAAGCCACCACCGCTCTATCATATTACATTTATATAAATGCTGATGATGTCAACTCCGTTACTTCATTACAATCTACGATGAAAAATATCATGAACTCATTTGACTGTTTCGCCGCCATTGTTTTCATTGGCTACCACAGCTTCTTTTATTTGTTTTTTTACTACCCGTCGTTTAATTTTTTTTCTCCATTTTTTTCCCGTTGATTACTTTGTCTACACTACTACTAACTATTAATTTGTGTTTTTTTTTTACCATTTGATTCTTTTTCACGTGATTTCATGCGTGAAAATAGGGGTCTTGTTTTGAGTGCTCGAAATATATTGAATTTATCTACGTTAGTTTTTAAGTAAATGGAATCTTCTGCTTACATGCTTATTTTTCCTATTCACTTTCTTGGGATGATTAGTTATCATTTTTCAAAAATAATTCATTCCTCTTTTTAGTTATGTTTGGTTTACGAAGAGTTTTATTATATCATTTTTATACAACTTTAGTAATGTGTCTGTGCTATTTTTTATGTAGAAAGTTGTTTATAAACTGTAATTATAATGATTCGAAAACAATTAAACGTTGCATTTTCATCTGAGTTTTATAGTTGATCTCGTCATCTACTCAAGAAAAAACGGAAAACTTTATTCGTAATCGATTAAATTTGGCTATAACTAGAAGAAGTAATCACTATTAGAAGTCGATTCAGATCTAAACTTGTTTTGTTATTCAGCACAAAGCCATTTAAGCACTCTAGATAGTCGAAAAGTTAGCTAAATTCTAGATTCTGGTAAACAAGGTCTTCATTTTTGCGTGATTTCTTCCCCCCCCCCTAACAGTCCCCTTCACCTACCTAATAACTAGAATCGACTTCGGTAACAGAAAGTGAAGTAGTCATGCTCTCATGCTTTTTCATAATTAAATGAAACATTTGTTTGTAAGTTTGTTTACTTCTATAATAGGTTGGGGAAAAATACAAAAGTTAAAAAAAAAGAGAATTTGCACAGACTCAACACATTTTTAATAGAAATTTCATCTTTTTCGTCTACCGGGTACGCGTACTTTTAATTATTTTCGCTTTGAAGTTAACATATTGTTTAGATATAGTTGTGAGCACGTAATTATTTTTCTAAAACAAAAAATTAATTAAATATCTACCATTTTCTTAAATATTATCGTTAGAACATTGTTTCTAACACTTGCCTCTAAAATTAAAAAAGAGAAATATAATTCTTTTTTTTTAAAGTCAATTCCTACTTAGGCCAACAAAGAAAATTTTTATTTTAGTTACTTTCTAATAAACAATTACAATTTTTTCTCCCATATAAAACTAAAATTAATTATTTAAATTTAATGAATGAATTAATATTTGAAAAAACTGTATTAACATCAAGTGTGATCCCCTATAATTAAAAAAAAATGTATTTGAACTTGAGAGTGGATGAATAAAAAGTATTTTATGAACGATTCAAAATTTGAACAAGATATATAGGGAGAGTGTGAACTAATAGTAGGAATTGAAAAATAAGCGACCAAGTATCAGACAACTATAAAAGTATAAATTTGGTTACTAGGACCACACGTGCAGTTCTTTATTGAATTTATTTGACACAGCGAATATAAAATATTTAAATGTGCGGAATAATCTTTTTTTCTTTGTTCAAATAAAGCTATAAGCTAGAGACTATCACTGATGTTATTTTTAAAATATGTGAAAAACTNTCTTGTAAAAAGAATTTAACATGTTATAAACAACAATTAAACAAGTAATGTGAAAAAACATAGTTGAAATTTGGGGCTAAGTTACCCAGTTTAAAAATTATGACAAAAAATTTACGTTAAATGGACTATAATAAATGTATTTTTTTCTTTGTATAGAATTATGAACTGTTGTACACTAACAGAAATAGTTTTAGATCATTTGCGTTATCTGATGATATCTCACAGTTTGATCTAATATTATCACTATATTTCAGGTGGTCTGGTAGATAAATGCATTAAAGAACCTGTAGTTCTGGCTAAAGCTAAAAGAGAACAAATTAAAGCTGTGCATCTACCATATGATGAATATTTAATGTAAGTATTCAGTAAAAAATCATTATTGTCATACTTTCAAAAATGTAGAATTGAAAAAGTATTTTAAATCATTTTTTTTTTATAAGTATAAAATTTAAAATAAACATTGTTAGTAGTTGTAGGAATATTAAATTGTATGACGCTTTTCCAAAAAATTATCATTCCAAATGAACAATAGTTTATAAGTAATGCTATTTTGACTTGACTACAATATTATAAAAAGTAGGTCAAAATGTGAAGGAAACTGAAGAGAAAAGTTATATTCATTAAACATAAGTATTTTGGGTTGATCATAATAATTTCTTGGTTATACCTATGATGGAACATGCTGAACTGATATTAAACAAGTGTGATGTAATAAATCTGGATACAGATTGAATTTATAATTTTCTAGTTTTAAGTTTAAGCATAAAGTTTATTGATTTAAATTGTTTTTTTTTATTTAAGTTTATCATGAATCTAATAAAAATGAGATATCTTTATGATTTTTTTTCTTATTTATTGTACTTTTTTATTATTATAAAACATTAAACTTAACAAGAATGGCATTTCAAATGCTGTGAATAAAGCAAAAGTCTATGGCAAAAATTAATTGGGCTGTTGTCCATTCGTTCTCAGATCTATGACCTCTTAGTGTCTTTCAGAAATAAGACTTTTGATAGTGTGGAGTACTGTACTTAGTGTTATGCAGCCAAAATCTCTTTCCCTCTCTCCACTAATACTGCAGTTTATAAAATCAAGGCTTCGAGACCCTAAAGGGAACAATGTGGCTCCTCAACGAGGCAATAATCCTCAGGTGGGGGGATAGTATTCAAAGGGAGAAAATTGCAATCAATAATAATAGAGCTGCGATGGCTCAGGTTATAGAGCGCTCGTCTTCCAGTGAGGTGAATCGGGTTCGAATCCCAGTGATGTCTGGTCAATAAGAATTCCGCACCTGGCTTGCACCGATCAAAGTGCTGACGTGAAATATCCTCAGTGGTAGGCAGATCATGGGTTAGAGTCCCCTTGCTGTCAGGCTAACCGTGGAAGGTTCTCATGATCATCTCCATGTAACACAAATGCAGGTTAGTTCCATCAAACAGTCCTTTACAAAGGCAAATTGCTCCCAATATTTGATCCAAGAGTTTACTTGCCTTCTGGATTGGGTGCAAAATTACAACGCTACGGAGTTGAACATTATTTGTCGTAAACCAAAAAATTGGGTCGGCTGTTTAACGACAGTTATAAATTAAATTTAATAATAATAAGAAAAGCCAGCCAATCGCTCCTCATCTGACTCCCATCAACATATTTAGTATAAAAAAAAGATTTAGTTAGGTCATCCAGCTTCTCATAAAACAAAGAAGTAGGTTGGAGATTTGCATCAAAGAAGACCTATGCTTTAATCTGACAAACAAAACGCCTGATATTCAAGCTTTTACAAAACTCCGCCAAACACAAGACATTTCCAGCACAATTTTTCCAGATTAAATTACAAAATAAATTTAAAAATATATACTCTTGTTTCCATTTTAGCGCTTCAAATATCACCTCTTTTGGAATGAAAAAAACGTGAAAGGGATGCACATTTTTTTAATTTCATTTTCTACAGTGACTGTATAAAATTGCTTCATTATTTACATTTAAATTAAAATCAGATATAATTTAGCATATATTCAAATTTATTGATGCGCACTTGCAAGTAAGTTTTGCAAATATTTGACAATTTTTGCTTGCTTTTTAAAAGATATAGCATGACTAAAGTACTATAAAGTGGTGAATTATGTAAGCCTACGAATTATTTAGAAATAGTGGTAGATAAAAATCTACTAAATTGAATTTGTTAAACAAAGAATCACAATTGATAAACTACCACTTTAACTGGCCTCTCTGGGGACAGTGGGCAACAAACGATTGGGAACCACTGGTTTAAATTGAAATTTTAATTACTTCCTTGTAAGCACCATCTAGACGATGAAAACATTTCGTTAATTTATTGTTTAAAACTAATTAAAATGTTAGGATCAGAGTTGATGAGTTTGAATATTTAAATACAGTTGTGATGTACCTTACTATAAAATGTAAATGTATAATGTTGGCTTAATTATTAATCAAGTTTATTTATGCTATACTAGGTAATTTCGAAAGGTAACCAAGCTGGTCACCACAGGCTGCAAGTTTATCTATAAAATACAAAATTGATTATTGAAAAATTAGAATCTTGCTGCAGTTATATTCTTACCATAATTTCATTTATTAATTATAAATCTCCTTAATTTATACCTTTGTTCTAAATGTTTGTTATAAAATTAATTGTGATATGTTTCTTATAGTTTTGCAATGTAATGTTTTTAGGTGGGGTAGAGGAAACAAGAGTCTTCCTTTAAATATTCTATTGGATATTCTTTTGGAAATGAAAAACACCAATGACTGGAATAAGGCATTTAAGCGAGTACCTCAAAGGAAGTTAGTAAGAAGCTTGGATTTGTTTTCTGAATTTTGAAGAACAGCATATTATCAAAAATGAAATAAATAAAATTGTTACTGTCAATTTGTTGTTTTCTTTTTTAAAATATTAATTGTTAAAATTTGTAAGTATGTTTATACTATATTTTCTACTACATTACAATACGTACTACTAATAAATCTACATTTTCACAATAGAATTATCAATACATTAGACCCTCTTTATGTTGTAGTTTAGGTTAAAAAATAAATTGCGATGTAAGGTCATCCGAAGCTAAATTGCACAAGGGTTGTAAACCACAGTTATCCGGTTTTGATGAAACTTGCGGAGTTTTATCCAGGGTTCGTTGATTTAAATCAGCTTGATTTAAATCACGATTTAAATCATGATTAAAATCAAATGATTTTTTTAAAAAAATCATTGATTTAAATCAATTGATTTTTATATATATATTATATTGATTTTAAAAGTTAAAAAACAGTGCTTTAAATTATTGATACTTTTATTATTTTCTTTTCTTAGTTTTAAAATTTACTTTAAATAAATTGCTGCATTTATTAATTTTAGTTAACGAAATTACTTTCTTTCTTGGTGTGTGTTAAACACATTTGAAATTACATGTTTAAAATATTTTGATTCTTAACATTGAAAGTACAGATTAAAGTAAATATTTAATGCTATCTTAATATAGACTTGCATAGCTATAGAAAGTAAATAAACATGATTTTTTTTCATAAAGAAAAAAAGCAAATGTTAACCTTTTGATTAAAAAAGCATGGAATTCTAATCTACATTATAGTTTATTGATGGAAATTTCTACATTTCTAAAGCTTGAGGCTACATTAAAAAGAAATTACCTTAATATGCCAAAAATAGAAAGAAAAAAAAAAGCTGAGTTCAGATATTTTTTTCCTGATATAGTGTCATTCTTCCCTTTCAAAGTCTATTTGAAGCAGAAGGGTTATTCACTGGTATTTTTTTTCCTCAAAATATGTTCACGGTATCTTTGAAATTATCAGATTTTCTTTTGTGAAAAAAATTTCCAATGAGTATATAGATTTTTAAAAAATGTTATTTAGCTTAACTTATGTATTTTGATATAGGATTAAAAATGATTATTTTAACATAAAAATATATAGATTGAATATTTATTTTTTGATGAATGACAACATTTATAAACACAATCTGTTGCATTTATTTTGCCATTTTATAAATCAAGAGAAAAAAAAAAAGAGATCACAATTTAAAATTAAAATTATGGTGTGCTAATTGAAACTTTGTGTTACTAGTTAAAGTAGTATTCTTTAAATTATCTTTTTTATCTTGTCTTTTAATTTCAATCATGCTTTTGTATTAAAATGGTCGCTATGCATTATAATGAAAAATTATTTTAATAAGTTAGAGCTTCTAAAATATTGTTATAATATAGTTTTAATATTAATTTAATTTTGATTAAACATTTATAAAGTTTTTTTAATCATAAATTATAGCTCTTATAATGTGTTTGAATAAAAATCAAAAAAATCTGATTTAAATCAAAAAAATCCGATTTAAATCAAAATAATCCGATTTTTTTGATTTTTTTAAAAAAAATCAAAAAAATCACGAACCCTGATATGTAGTAACAAAACTGCGTTAACTTTTATTTTTAATTACTCTTCATCTTGCGCCCACATAATTTAGGGGTGGTCTTTATTTAGGGATGGGAAACTGAGACAAGAAGAAATGCTTATGGTTACATTCTATTCAATAGATAGTTTTAAAAATCGGCATATGTATTTTATGTAAAAATTTCAAAATTACCGGAAAATGATGTAAAAATCTGTCGAAGACAGAAAAAAGTTCATAGTATCCGATTTACTCTCTTCTTTTGGCTCGCTATATCCACAAAAAATAATATATGCATATAGCAAGGCACGGGAGAGAACGTTTCGTTCACTATATCCGGGAGTTCACTATGCCGGGGTTTGACGGTATTTATATAAACGGAAGAGTTAAACATTTTAGTATAAATGTAACCCTTTTTTCATAAAAAAAGGATATGTATTTTATACAAATAAAAATGAAGAATTATTTTGTAAGAAATGTCTGTTTGACATAAAAATGCTAACATTTCTAAACTAGAAATTTTAAAAATCTCCTCAAGAACTATAAGAATGTAAGTTTTACTAAGAATTTGTGGTCTGCATGGTAGGTTTAAAATATGAGATTTGGAACTAAAATGCTTCTTGATTTATTTTTGTTTAGAAGTACTTGCATTTTTAGAGCACAGTTCTTCCTCCATTTTCTTTTAAACTTATATTTCGTGTAAGGAAATTGTTTTAAACTGTTTATTTTTTTAAATAAATGAATAGTTTTTAAACAATTTCAACTTTCATTTTGTAAACAAAACACTTAAGTTAAAAACTGTTTTCGTAAAAATAAAAAATGTTTGAAATATTCAGAAGCCCGAAACTGATGTTTTTTTTTTATTTTTTTATTTACTGTTCAATGCAATTGATAGTATTTGAATGAATGAAAGCAAGAACTATTTTGATATTTTTCATATTTTGGTTTTCATAAGTTAAAAATTTATGATAAGTTAAAAAAATATCTTTAGAACTTGTCAAAAAAAATCATTAGATTCTATACACATGGTGCCTCAAATCAATGTTAACGAGCAGTTATATTACTAAGTATCGTTATAAAAGGAAGGACAATTAGAAATCATGATAATTATTTGTTACGATATACAGTTATGTGTATAGTTACTCGTTATTATTAACCGTTCATTGTAATAATTAATTGTAAAACATTAATGATAACCATAATAATAATTATTATTATGATAATTATTATTATTTTAAATAGTATTGTAATAGTAATTATTATTCTAATAATTATTATAATAATGATAATTATTATTATAATAATGATAATTATTATTATAATAATGATAATTATCATTTTAATTATATTATAATAATTATTACTAAAATAATAATTACCATTATAATTATTGTAACAATTACAAGAATAATTACTTGTATAATAGTAATTATTATTACAAATATTATTATTATATAGCTTCATTTATTATAAAAGTAATATTAAACATACATCACCACATGCAAGTTTAATTGCTACTGATAAAATCCATTAATTTTGTGTCATTTCCTCCATAAAATGCGTTAACAAGTTTGAAACGTTCTGAAATATTTTGGAAAATAGGAAAAGTGAATCTCAAAGAAAAGTTTGTCAAATAGAAAATTCATTTCGCTATTTGGAAGTTATTTTACGAGGAAACTTCCAAAATGTTCTTCGTTCCTCGGGGGGAAAAAATCGCAAAATAGGGAAAATCGCAAAATGAAAATTCGTTAAATAGAAATCTGTCTGTAATTTCATTTTCTTTTCTTTTATAAAGGCGTAGGAAGGTTGCTCCATTATTAAGTATATTTAAAGAACTCAAATTCAGGCCGAAGTTGTTATTTACCGCTACAAAACTATTTACTGTAAGTAGGTAATTTTGAGACATAACTCTATTTTATACCACCAACCAAATATAAAAAGGCAACATAAAAGAAATTAATTTTAACGAATGCAAATACCTAAATAAGTTGATACTTGAAACAACCTGCATTAGTCGTCCCCATACACCGAGACTGAGTAATAAATAAAACATGGTGTCGTAAACAAACATCGTTCAGTTTACAGTCACTGTCAATGTATTGTGTCTTTAACTAAATTTTGGTGAAGTCAGTTGCACCATGGAAGTTTCCCGATCATACTTCACAATTTATGGTGAAACTAAAATAAAATGGTGTTTCATTTAACTAAACTTAGAGGATAATGAGAAGCTTTGCATCAAATACTGGTTAAAAATTTGCAGAGTTTTTTTACAGTGTAATACAAATTGCATCTTTCACTGATACATTGTATTTATAAAGTTTATATTTCAAATAAATTCTATACATACCTGAACACTGTTGTTTATTTTCTATCGTTCTAAAATACACTTCACATTATTCCAAGCACAGCTAAAAATATTAAAAAATATTATCGTTCAAATTTGCTGTTTCATTAATATGGTGCCGAGTTGCATCACGCTATCGAAATTCTTAAGTTTAACTCTGAGACACAACTTAAACAGAAAGCGTGGTTCAGTTCAATACGGTATTAGCAAAGTGGTAGAAAATGTGCACTACATATTTTGGTATTAAGGTTCAACAATGAATTCTAATATTATTAAAATGAACCAGATCATCGTACCAATTTGAGGCTGCTTTAATATCGTTGTAAGTTGAGCCATTTCTTAAATTTAATTACACAAAGTTTCAATTTGAATAGAAAATGTGGTTCAATTTAATACTATTTAGGGTGGTAGCATATCTGCTCTAAAAACATCAATATTGTGGTTCAACATTGAATCATAATTTGTATACATATATTGCACCATAATACCGTTCAAGTTTTCTAAAAAAAATTTTATAGGTGCTTAAACTACATTATCGTGTTATGTATTAAACTTATAACTATATCATAAGTTTAATTACGCAATGCTATAGTTGAATAGAAAGATGGTTTAAATTAACACCTTGTTGAGGTTGCAGCGAATCTTTACTTAATTAGGGTTAAACGTTGAACCAGTTATTCTAAGAGAAAAGTAATATGAAAACTATACTACGATTTGGGGGTTAATAAACTAAGGTAACAATAATAATAAGTTCATTTAAAAGATGCTATGGTTTAACAGAACGATGGTTAATTTAATTGACGCTGCGGCAAATCTGTACTTAATTATGGTTCAATGTTGAGCCAGTAATTCTGAGAGTAAGTTAATATGTAAATTACTAGATACTCTTTGGGCGTCAGTAAACTAAGATAACGAAGCTACGATTTCCCTCCTCATGACGTCACGCTGTACACAGAGATTGCAAGCAAAGATATTATGAAAACTTTGCATCAATAGTTCGATTTTTTTGTAATATTAGATTTCAAACTTTATACAATTAACACATTATTTTTTTTGAAAAACATAGTTTAAAAAATTTTTCTTGGCCAAATTATTAAATTAAATACCATTTTAAACTACTAAAACTATTTTA